AAAGACTTGATTCTGTGGGCATTATTGTCTGCATGTGGCAGCTAGGTGTACAGCCCCATCTTGACATCATGAAACAAGACCGTATAAGAAGACTGACTGACAAAAGCCTAGCATGGCAGAGTAGAAAGCTGAAAAGCTCTGGGTCCTCCACATTTAGCTGCTAAAGCTGCTGAGTTTGCAACCACTTTTCCCCAGTTGTCTTATAAAAGATAAAAGATTTTCTCATTCTTTACAGGAAATGTAAGATAAAATACAAGCCATAGGTAGAGGAATATTTAATAAGAGATGGGTTTTTAATGTACCAAGTGTACACTTCAAAAAAGAAACCCAACAAATATTTTAAAAAGTGAAAGGGTGTACCAGGAGATTTTTTTTTTTTAAATGGCAAAAAAACCCACAACTCCCTAATTGCCAACTATTACCACTTTCTGTTGTGTCATGGAGAGCCGATAAAGGTGTGAGGAAACTGATAATCTTTTGTGTGCTTATGGCATTGTATATTAGGAACAATCTTTCTGAAAAGATTTTGGCAAGATGTTTCAGTAGTCATAAAAATGTTTGTGCCTCTGAGCCCACCAATCTCATTCCTGAGTATCTCTCCTAAAGAAATAAACTAGAATATGCAAAGGTTCACTGCAGCTTTATAGTAGTGAATAATAGGAAGAAACCCTATTCAACAGTATGAAAATTAAGCAAACAAAAATTTTCAATTTTCCTTTTTAGTTATGATTTGAGAGTATGCAAAAAATATGCATGTGGAAAATAAAAAGGAGGGGAAACGCAAACTGATTATCCATAGTTCTGTTGGGATGGTGGAAATAGTATTCCCTCTCTTTTTCTAGTTCCTAAACTTTCTATACTGATACGGTACTTCCACAGGCATAACATTTTTATTTTAGTAAATTAGAGCATTCATTTGTTTTTCCTTGAAACATGGTCATTTTTTGTTTCCTTGAAACATGATTATTTTCAGTCTGTCATTGTCCAAGTAAAACCTGCCAGTTTTATACATGCTGTAAGTTGTATACATCTTCCATAGTGGCAATCTGATAAGGCATATTAGATAAATTTCTCTGTTGAAAGTTGACATTTAATACTTAGATAATACTGTAGTTCAGATGACTTTGGGAACTCCTTTTAACTTTGGGCCTGTGTTTAAAGATCAAGCATAAAATAAAGTTTCCAATATCCAGCAACTTCACTTTTTAAAAACATGCTGAGAAAGAATAAAATACACTGGACTAGAAATAGAAGGACTCAAGAAGCTCTTAAAATTGTCTAGGGGTGAGCGAAAGTAATATATAAGGGCTTGCATTGTAGCATAGGCAGTATCAGCTAAAGAGAGATGGAAGAAATGAAAAACATTATAAAGCAACAAAGCTAGAGCTCTATGGAAGTCAGATGGGAGTGACAGGGGTGGCAGGGGTTTAAAACAGGTTGTTTGAGGGGCAGCCCCAGTGGCTCAGCGGTTTAGCACTGCCTGTAGCCCAGAGTGTGATCCTGGGGACCGGGGATCGGTCCCATGTCAGGCTCCCTGAATGGAGCCTGCTTCTCCCTCTGCCTGTGTCTCTGCCTCTCTCTCTGTTGTCTCTGTGTGTCTCATGAATAAATAAATAAAATATTTTTAAAAAAATAAAACAGGTTGTTTGAGATGACGGGTGTCTGTGGGGAAAAGGCACCAGATGAGATGGTTGCATGTGGACTAGAAATTAGGAGAGACACTGGTTTAAGAGTCATACTGAGGCAATGATTAAAGCCAAGGGGGGTGCATGGAGTCTCTGAAGGAGGAGAAACTCTTTGGGGCTGTGCACACGGTATAGATTGAGAGGGTGAATACATTACTCAGGAAGAGATGCACAGGATTTCATGAGCATTGTCTGCTGTGGATTATAACACATGCAGAACCCATGTTGTCTGTCATACAAGAATTTCCACTGAATCAAGTAAATGTATCAGCTCTAATTTTAAAAACCATGTTTTTTTTTTCATTAGAAACTCATTGATTTCTTACACAAAAGACAATTGTTCAGACTTTTAAAATGTACTTTTTAAATTTATTGAATAATCAGCTGAAAGTTTGTCAGATTTTATGAAAACTTGTCAAATATGACAAAACCAATTCTTGAACCTTGCTTTGGACGGATTTCTCAGAATCCTTTGAGATTTTCAAAATCCTTTGCATGTCAGTTCAACTTTTGAATAAGATTCATAGTAATAAAACATTAGTGACATCACTGTCTACAATTTAGCCCTAAAAGAGTAGTATTAAGGACATGGAGAGCTTTCTAGCCGCTTGAATACATTATTCCAGCTGATAGAATATTCTGAAATATGAGCCAGACTGATAAAATTGAATGATCTGCCTTAGAGTTGTAGGACCATAAGTGAGATTACCTTTGTTAGGTTTCCAGATGCATCAGTATGCAGTTTGCTCAAGAGCATTTTTATCATGTTTGTGTCAGGGCATAATTTACCTTAAAACCTTAAAATACATTTTAATAATAATCACATTGGGTTTATTCATTTACAGTTAGTACTTAATTCTTAAATGTGTAGGCTATGGCAAGATGAGATACTGAAAGTATATTTCTGTCATAAAAAATGAATGGGAGGTAAGTATATTAGATAGTATATCACTACACTCCACAATATAACAAATAGTGCATATAAGGTTATCCTCTTTCAGCCTGGCAAGTCACCAGACAGTTACATCATCCTGTAATAATTACCTGCTGCAGACTCCCGACTTCACACTAAAAAATACCATGCTTTTAGATTCCCTTCACTCTGGGTTACTATGGTATTCTACGTAGCTGAAAAGCATCCTAGACTCCACATGGGAAAGGAGTATTAGAGCTTCTTGATAATGGTATTCTTCTGCATCAACTTTGCATCATCATGTAATGTACTTGAGAAGAAATATTGCCTTACCCTTCAGATTGGAGTACAAATGAAGTAAATAAAAATCTTCTAAATGTAATCAAAGAAATTACAAACATACGTTTGTGCCTTATAAGAGAAATATTAATCTGTACTTTAGTAGTGTTAATCCAACATTTTTTTTGGTTTCTATTAAGTCTATCTTTGAAAAATTATTTGATACGCATTTTATATTCAGATGACTTGCCTTAGCAGTTCCCCCTGCCCAATGTGTGGATGAGCTCTACTCCACAGGGGATGGCCTGGTGAAGAGATTGTTTAAAAGCACTGCTTTCTGAAGCTTAACAGAATGCAGGAATTGCTCTCTGGGGTGTGGAAAGGAGATTCAACCCAGATTTAATACATACTGCTTCAAGATAATGGAAGCAGAATGCAGGAAATAGCCTCATAATGTTAACTGAAATACCAGTCCTCACATCAAAAATTAAATCACATAAAAAAATTAAATCACATAAATGAATTAAAACTGGTAGGTCATTTGGTAAAAATTTCAGAGAAAACAGGAGGAGTTGGGTCAGGTGAGGTTGGGCAAGAGGAAAACTGATTATATGGATTCCTGACAGTTTGGCAGCTGCCAAAGAGTTGCAGGCCAGTTCCTGATTGTCACACCTCACCACTGTTTGCTTTGTCCTTTGGAAATATACTGGTTAGAATCCATAAAGTTGATTAGATCACATTGTCAAACATCCATTTTTAATTATGCATGTAAATAATACACCCAAATAACATGTTTTTCAAACTCTATATTAGAAGCAGATATATTGAAGCAGCCATTTTCTTCAGCTGATTATCTTCAAGTACTTAATCCCTCTCTTTCTAGTTCTATTTTTTAAATTTTAGGATTCTCCTATTGATCAGTTGCCTCTATTCATTATAATACTGTTCCTAAAAGTGTTTTATAAACCACCAACTACTATACAGATTGTTTTAAATAATATTTCTGTTCCATTCAAGAAACTTCCATAGATTTAAAATGTTCTGATACCCCAGTACAAATGCTCTTAAAGTGAAAAATATGTAGTACATAATTGTTTTTTGTCAGTAACTCATTGCAATTCTTTGAGACACATCATTTTACTTCTTGGCATACAGTCTTTTCAGGGTGCAGTTCTCCTTTCCCTGTCAGCTTTTTCCTCATTCTGGCTTTCTTCTGAGTCTCAAAATGGTCGAGAATCAAATGCTTCCTCAGTTGTATTTGGAGGAATACAGGAGCCTCCCTCACCATCATGTAACAGCTGCTTTACTTAGGATCCGATTGGACATTCCTGTGTCCCGTCACTGTGGGGAGGGAGAATGCCTATATCGATTGGCTTGGGTTTGTCACCAGTCATAAATTGAAGTGGAGTCCGCTCACTCAAACCACATGACTGCTACGCCTGAGGAGGACTAGAAGGACGGCAGCATCCATGAAAATAGGGGTGATCTCCTAGCCCAGCTGACGCCCAGAAGTACTACAGCTATAGAACATACACGACAACCTATAGACTGTTCTTTTAGAGAAAGTTTAAAACAGGAATTAAGATGATTAAAGTCAGACCACAAATACTTAATGAAGACCTTACTGGCAGCCAAAGAAACAGTGTGGGTAGAGGTAGAGCAATAAGGAAGAAATATTTGGTGAAAATGAAGCATTAGAGCTGAGTGCTGAAGAGGCTGCAGTAAAGGAGTTGCCCTGGTAGCTCCTTCAGGCCCAGACTACGAGGGTTGCCTCTCTTGCCACAGGAATGAATGAATAGGCCAATCTCAGGCAGTTTCTTATAATATCTCCATTATCTCGGTCCCCAGTAGGAGATGCCCTGGATCTTGTGTCTTAAGTGTCTCTCAGTAGCTCCAAGCAGTAAGACTGGAAAGTAGTGGCATAAGTCTTAAGTTTTATGTGTATTTCAGATTGGGTTGATATTTTTGCTTTTTAAAAAAAATATTCCTAAAGATACATGGTTAGATACTGAGTTTTGTTACAAAATTTACTTGAAACTAGGACTAGGGAAAACTTGTTTCATGTTTGTACCAGTGTTTTAATGACTGTTTTCATGTTAATGAATGATACTTCCTTTTTCCAGGGAATGGATTTGTAAACTCAAGAGCTTCTCCAAATTTGATCGGAACTACTGGTGCAAATAGTTTAGGCAAAGTTATGCCTACAAAGTCTCCCCCTCCTCCAGGTGGTGGCAATCTTGGAATGAATAGTCGAAAACCAGATCTTCGAGTTGTCATCCCTCCTACAAGCAAGGGCATGATGCCTCCACTGGTACGTTAAATTTTTCTTCATTTTCATTCTTTAAAATACAGCCAGTCTGTATTTTTCTTTGGAATTTTCTGTACTTCCATAGAATCTAGACCCTTTCTTAATGAGTATTTCTATTTGAAGTCAGCATTTGAAGAGACAGATCCATTTTAAATACACAGAAATCTGATTATGGAGAAACAGGATGTAAATATGCTTAGTGGTTATTTAAAATTAAAGCGAAATGAGGAGAGGTTGTTAGGCTTAATTTTATCAGGCTGGGATCTTAGCTCAGAAATTCCATCACCAAATTGATAAATTAAACCTGACTTAAATATTTTTCTGTCTCTACTTTGCATACTTTCGGTAATCGATTACATATGCTTTTCTGTAGAAGAAACACTATATTAGTCGTTAGAAAATCGTTAGAAAATTCTGCATATCAAAAAGAACCATTGTAGAATAGGGAACAATGCATCAAAACCTGAATGAGTTATTCTCCAAATCATTTTCCTTTGTTTATTCCTTCTCCAGTAACCTTCCCATTTAATTCTATAAAGAATATAGGTCTTCCCCCAAATCCCTTGGCAGTGTATTCATAATTGCAGCTTCATAGGCTTTTGAATCCTGTGTTTATGAAGAAGAGGAGAATATGTTTATCCCTTGAGCTTCTTACAGAAAAAACTTAGATTATGTATGCAAGTTTTAAAACCATTCCTAGTATCACGTAGCTTGACTAACATGCAATGTGATATGCCAGGTGTTCTCTCTACAGTGCAGCTGCTAAACCCACTATTTGATTTTTTGCCTAAATGAAAGTTGATGTTATCAGGCTTTAGATAATCTACATATGTGTAATGCTTTATAGATTCCCAAACATCTTCATATGCATCATTGCATTTGATTGTCAATTATACTATAATCTTGGCTAGGTAGAGATGAGGAAACTGAAGGAGAAGTTAGTACTTATCCAAGGTAATATAAAAGAGAGCCAGGACCAAAACTTTTTAAGTCAAGAAACAAACAAGTACTTTTTCATTCGTAGTAGAAAGCTGGAAACTGTGTTGCACCCAGCCTTACAATGAAAACGAGTTGAATAAATGACAAGTTCACAGTTCTCTTTGAGTAGATTATAGTGCTGAGATTTCATGGCATTCAAGTAGCCCAGACTCTAGGGGAGAGACACATACTGCAGGCAGAGGACACATTCGAGCACTAGCTTATCTAGTAAGACCCAGGTAATAAGAGTTAAGCTCAGATGATGGATGAATTGCCGGAGGCCAGCTGTTCACTGGCAGGAGCATGTAAAACCCCTAGGGCTGTGACATAGCAGGAGTCAGTTCTTTTATAGGCTTTTTCTCCACAAACTCCACTGGGTGCTCACAGAAGAGATAGGGAATGTCCTGAAAAAGTCTCTGCTGTGGTATACGGCTGGGAAAGGGGAAGAGCACCCACTACAGTAGGGACAAAATGTTCTCCCTGGACCCTTCTCCCCTTTCTCTCCTGTGGACCAGAAGCCTTAATCTGTAAGGAGATGAACAACAAAAACTATCACCATTAGGGCATTGGTGACCTCCGATTGTATCTCAAGAAATGGAAAAGGAAAAATATCTAAAGCCATGGTGGAGAAGCAGGAACAATGCCAGAAGCATGACAGGGTGACCAAGGAGCCACAGCTCTGGGCACAGTATCAAGAGGGGAAGGCTTCAGACTGACAGTGGGAGCAGTCACTGGGGAAAAAGCAAACAACCTCTAGCAAACTAGCACTTGTTTCCTCCTGGAGGGATTTGAGGCCCATGGTAGATGCACTTAGGGTGACCATTGATTGCAGCAGTGAAGCTCAAACCCAGTGCAGTTCCTAATTTAACTCAAACCATGCACTAGGAAAGACCTCTTGGTCTATAGGTCAGTAGAGTTACCCAAACTGTAATACGAAGAGAAAGAAGAGTGAAAATAAAAAGCAGAACAAAGCTTCCAAGAGCTGTGGACTTTTATCAGGTGGTTTAACATATTTGTCATTGGAATTCCAAAAAGAGGAGAGAAAGAGCAGGACAAATACTTGAAGAAATAACAGAAGTAGGATAAATACACATTCAGACTGCTAAAAGCAAAGGACAAGTAAAAATCTTAAAGGCAGCCAGAGAAGAAAAAAGAAGAAAGATACGAATTTATACTATACTTCTCTCTAGAAACTGTGCAAGCTACAAACAATGGAGTAAGAAAGTGCTGGAATTCAAAACAGACAAACAAAAAAACGCCTCAACCTAGAATTCTATATCCAGCAAAAATGTCTTTCAGAAATGACAGAGAAATAAAAACTTTCTCAAACAAAAAATCTTGAGAGTTTATTGCTGGAAGACCTATTCTGCAAGAAACACTAGGGGAAATCATTTGGCAGAAGGCCTATGATGCCAGCAAAAACTTGGATCTATACAAAGAAATACAGAACAATGGAAATGAAATAAATGAAAATAAAATAAAGCACAATTCGTTTTCCCCCTACATTTTAGAAGCCTTCTATTTTAGAACAATTTTATATTTATACAAAGATTACAAATATATTATCAGAAAGTTCTGCTAATGCTTCACACCAGTTTCTCGGATTATTAACATCTCACATTAGTATGGTACATAAGTTAGAACTAACGGGTCAATACTGATACATCATTATTCACAGAAGTCCATACTTTATTCAGATTTCTTTCATTTGTAACCACATGTCTTGTTCTGTTCTGGGATCCCATCTAGGACAGCATTACAATTAGTAGCCATGTCTCCTCAGACTCCTTCTTTTGGCTGTGATAGTTTCTGAGACTTTACTTGCTTTAATCATCTAGACAGTTTTGAGAAGTACTGGTCAGGTGTTTTGTATAATATTCCTGAATTGGGATTTTATTCTGTTTTTCTCATGATTAGACTGGAGTTATGGGTTTTAGGAAGGAAGGCCACAGAAGCAAATTACCAGTTTTATCACACCACACAAAGGATACATACTGTTGTTATGAGTAATTATTACTGATGTTAACCTTGGTTACCTTGCTGATGTAGTGTTCCATGGGTTTCTCTGCTGCAAAGTTATGCTTCTTCCTTTCTGTACTGTCCTCTTTGGAAAGAAGTCCCTCTGCAAGGTCCATACTTAAGGAGTGGGGAGTTAGGCTATCCCTCCTTGAGGGCAGAATATCTATATAAAATATTTGGGAGTTCTTCAGCAAAGGTGAAGAAACTTGTTTGCTTTCATTTATCTAATATATTAATACAGAGTTATGGACATATATATTTTGGGTTATAATACTACTAAATTCTATTAATATATAATTCTATCAATACTATTTTATTCTACTGCTCATATTCCAGCTTAGCCATTGAGGACTATTCAGTTGGTTCCTGTGCCTCTTGCATGCACTGTCATCTTTCTGGGGGTTTTTTTGGGAGGAGTAATGGGGGGAGGTTATTTTTAAATTTTTCAGTTACTACGAAATGCCCTAAACTCATCTTACATATTTCCTGCCCTAGTCCTAGAAGCAGTCATTTCTCTAAGGAACTGTGGTTCCTTTTTATTGGGAAAGGTATTAGAAACCAGAATCTGAGCTTCTTTCTCTTCTTAATTGCTCTAAAAGATTGCTGACTTTCTAAAGCAAAAATAGTGGGAAGAATTTTGTTGTTAAAGCACATGTAAAAATAAAATCTATGACAATAAAAGGCAGGCAAATTATAAATACAGTGTTGTAAGTCCTTACTCTACACCTAATGTGATATCTATTTGAAGGTGAACTCTAACCTTATGTTATGAGTATGTTATGGAACCTAGTGCAACTACCAAAAACAATTTAAAAAGAGAGGTATAAAGTCAGTAGAGGAGATAAAATGTAATTATAAAAAATGCTCAAAAAGCCCAAGATATAAGAGAAAAAATAAAAACAGATGGTACAAATAAATATAGCTAGCAAGATTGTAGATTTTAATCCAACCATACAAGTAATCACTCTGAATGTGGTCTTTTAAGACAGTTAAAAGACAAAATGTCAGATTAAGAAAAGGAAGATCATACTATACAGAAATCCTAGTTTAAATATAAAGGCATAGGTTTACAGATACAGAAAACATATAGTGCAAACATTAACCACAAGAAGACTAGTGTAGCTATATTAATTTCAAACAGTGTAGACTTCACAGTGAGGAATTTCATCAAGGATAAAGAAGGACTTCTCACACAGTCCATTTCCCAAGAAGTAAGTATCTTTAATGTATACACACCTAACAGCAGACCTTCAAAACTTATACACCAAAAACCGATGGAACTAAAAGGTAAAATAGAAAAATCCACAACTGTAGCTGGAAACTTAAAACACTCTTTTCTCAGTAATTGACAGAACAAGTAGGCAGAAAAATCTGTAAGGATCTAGACAACCTGAGCAATACTCAACCAGCTCGACCTGAGAGACGTTTCTAGAACATCTCACAGCAGCAGAACATAACATTTTTCTTAAGAGCCCTTGGAACATTCACCAAGATAGCACTTTCCTGTGTCACAAAGTAAACCTCAACAAATTTCAAAGAATTGAAATCCTGAAGATTGTATATTCTCTGATCATAATGAAATCCATAACAGAAAGGGAAAATCTTTATATATTGAAAAATTAACACACTTTTAAATAACCCACAAGTCAAAGAGGAAATCTCAGGAGAAATTATAATTAATATATACATATATATTCTGTCAAAAAAAAAACCTGTCAAAATATGGGGGACCAGCAAAAGTAGTATTGGGAAGGAAACTTACAGCATTAGATGTTTATACTAGAAAAGAGAAAGGTAACAAATCATTAAGCTTTTACTTAAACTCAAGAAAGAAGAGCAAACTTAACCCAGAGTAACCAGAAGAAAAGAAAGAGCAGAAATTAATGAAATTTAAAACAGAAAAACAGAGAAAAGCAATCAAACCACAGCCTAGTGTTTTGATTGCTAAACTTCTAGCCCTGCTGACCAAATTAAAAGAGAAGGCATAGGTTATCAATATCAAGAAT